AGTGTGTGATATTGCTAAAAGTAAGAAAGCTATCCCGAAGCCGCACACCTATAACATCAACTGGGAGGGAAGCAGCCAAGCAATGGAACAAGTAGATATAAGAAGATGTGGTATGAGTGCCAATGAGACAACTCTCCATCCAAGTCAAAATTTATAAAAGTAAACCATTATAGGTCACAGTACGGTCTTCAACATGGAACCTTGGCTCACACCGAACAGTAAGCTATAAAGGGCCCCAAAGATTACTAGTGTAAAACCATTCAAACGGGAAAACCAACGGTCTAATCTATATAAAAAACGAGAAACGAGAAACACTTATGAACCACATCAACAAACGACAACTACTGAACATCAGATTCCTGACTTAGGACAGGTGCAAACAAATGCAGCGGGTTTAAACGTTTCAATGGTACCAAACCTTCACCCTTTTTCTGAAACAATAGTGTAATATCACAACATAGAAAGACACACTATAAAATATCAACTGAAATAGCTTAACTCAATCAAAGGACATATTAACACCATTGAACATACACAGAACAAATAAATTTGACCTATGATACAATGTAAATACAAAATAAATAAACTAAGGGAAGAATAATAAAAGTAACATGTTATATCGGTATGAAATGTTAAACAATTAAAGAAAACAATATGCTCGAACAAAAAAATCAGCCATTTGCAATAACTTTAAACACAGGTAAATGAAAATAATTTTGTTCATAGTACGAAGTGAAAATTTATAGTAATACCAAACACTTATCAAAGCTGGTATATAGACCAGATATAACCCTGAATAACATTAAATAACAAAAAAGCAATACAATTAGTATCAACAGGTCAAATAAACAAGAAAGTACGATTTGAGAGTACTCGCAGTTACTGAAAGCTACTTAAAAGCCAAAACAATTAATAATAAAAAATCATGCATCAGAGACTAAAATCAACTAAAACACATGGTTATTGAGATTGTATGAAACAAGGAGAAGGCAGGAAATTCTGGTTCAACAATAGTAGCCGATGATGACACCACAACCATTTCACGCTTAAGAAATGTTGTCAATCCAGGTATCAAGAAAAAAATCAGATAGAAAACATGTCATAATTCTATTCCTTTCAACCAAAACATAAAAGCCTTTCAAAGAAAGTCATATCCTACCTACAGAAGTGTATCAACTGCATGATATCACAAAATCAAGGCAATGAGGAAGGAATTTCTCAAGGATTCAATGCCATATCACGTCATCCCTTTGGAGATCATACCTTATGTAATCCTAACTGGTGTTCTCATGTTGAAGATCCACTTAAGAAGAACAGATCACTCCCCTATGGACGTCCTTTGACAGACTCAGCTCTACAAAAGTGCTTGATAGATTTCCTTGCTGAACTTAAAACGCATAGTGAGAAATATGCAACCCTAGGCAGTACCCAAGCCAATGAATCTCTTAAGCCTCGGTCACACCTTAACGGATAGCTCGAACGGATGCCGAACGGATAACTTTTTTTCAATCCGTTCATGTCCGTTAGACGTCCGTTCTTATCCGTTAGACGTCCGACCATATCCGTTTCATGTCCGTTTAGCGTCTGTTTTATCCGTCGACGCACGTTCTGTCTGGTCGAAAATTTTGATGAAGTGTCCGTTGATCGTGCGGTATGCGTCCGTTTTGTACGATACTCGTACGTTTCGTTTCCGTTTTGTTTCCGTTACTTGTCCATTATAAATACATCCGTTAGAGGTCCGGTAGACAAACTCACCAACGGACTTCTACCGGACGTATAACGGATAAAACGGATGATGAACGGATGGGAAACGGACATGAACGGAAGGATAACGGATACCTACCAAATGTAAAACGGATAAATGCCAATTGAAAATTTCACGTCATTCAGAAATGACAATTATTGATATGTCAGATTTCTTGAGTGTCATGAACGTCTATTACTCATGATGGATCTTGGAGTAAGAGCATATGTCTTCACTATCAAGCAGCTCTTATTCAGGTCCGACTGAACTTAAATGTTGCAAATATAAACCTACTAGTTGTCGAAAGAAGAAGGAGGAGAAAACAAAGAAGATGGTGGGCAAGATCATTGCTTAGTCCTGAAAGATATGTATTATTATTATCGCTTTTAATTTTCCGCTTATCTTCTTCGTGCGTTTATCCGGTACGCTTCCGTTAGGTGTCCGTTTAATGAGGTACTCGTCCGTTGGATGTACGTTCGACGTTCGTTCTGTCCGGTACTTTTCAGTTTCTCGTACGTTGCATATCCTGTTAGTGCCAAAAAACGTTTTATCATCCAAAATTCTAATTCGATTAATGAATGTATAAATTCTAATTTGATTTATGAATGTATAAATTCTTATTTGATTTATGACAAAAGGGGAATTTATTTGGCAGTTATTTATTAATTATGGTCTTTAGACATGGTTGATACATTATATATAGACCTGTTCAGATTATATTCACCGAGGACAAAGTCAGAGTGTCAATATAATTTAACTGGTCCATATATTACATATTGACTGAGTGGAAGTCCTTAATTTATATATTGCATATGTAAATAATGTATTAAGAAAATGGACTTCATTGGCAATCATACCACATCTTCTTTTTTATATTCAATGTTCTTTCTGTGTATTTTTAAATAAATTTAGGAATATTTCTAATATTGACCGTACATACAACATTTTGTACAAGTAGAAACATAGCGTCAATATACCTTAAAAATAGAAACAAGGATTCAAATACATGAAATAACATGCGAAACACATGATCATAATATCCAATGAAAACAGGAGAATGCTATATGTAATATAACTACCTATGGCAGCTAGAGAAATTTCTACTTGGCTGGCAGGTTTTTGTTATTATCATGCAATTAAAGGGAAAAGAAACCAAGGAATAAACAGGGAATTGTAAATCAATATAATGACTCTATGTGAGGGCCAAAATATGTGCCTCACTTGCCCTTCTATTGAAAAACATCTGTCACCATGAAAAAGATTCATATATTGTATTCCCTCAGGATTCCTAGGTTAGGAATTTAGGCTCCTTGAAGCCTTTAGTACATTTAAGTCTATGTTTATTTTTTTTGGTAGATTTGTTTTATATATTTACATTTTATATTTCTATATTATCATTTGACAGAACACAAACCAATATGTCTAAAGAAATTAGAGAAGGAACATGTTATCAGTCTGGGATATTATCTTTCAGTGTTACTGATGATGTCATTGAAGAGATCCCTGCTCCAAATGCTTCTCCAGTTTCAGACCCTTTGACAGTTCCTGCAGCAGTGATACCTGTATTTTTTTTCCTTGAAAGTACTGGTTAAGGTAATAAATTTACAGATATTTTTCATGATGAATTACATGTAGGCATGTACATCAAATGTTGTATAAAGAACAGTTTCGGTGTAATGTAACTTTGTATGCTTTTCCAAAAAACAGTTGCCAAATTTGTCATCATATGCACAAGAAAATATATATAAATCTGTAACTGGTAATAATTGCAATGCACATGATGCCTTAGAAGATGTCTATAACTCTTAGTTAATGAAAGTAATGTTAGTATTCACTCATGTAATGAAGCTACTTTTGATTGTAACTATGTATTGTCATCTCTTGTTTATTCTATGTTCATAAAGAAAAATATTTCATCTTACAATGATATTGTAGAAAAGAAAATATTAAGCAAAGATATGGCTAGGAAAGCTGCTGGTAGTAATTTGTCTTTGCATAACTTGAAAATTGCCTACAATAGAAACGGTGAAGATGGACTCAAAAGTTTATTATTCGATTCATTTGGTAAAAGTGTGAGAGTGACAAAGTCTATAAAGATCAATCATTCTGTGTCAAAATACTTATCTGAGCCCTGAAATAAAACAGTTTAATGAGAAAGTAAACTACTGTGAGCATGGCTTGCCAATATCACGCCAACACCCTCTTGACATTAGAAATACCTGAATATTTGTTAACAAAATACAGTGCAAACTTATTTTATTTATAGCAGGGCTTATTTCTTTCAAAATTTACTGTATTTTCTAGGTAGTTATATTGTGAGTCCAGTTCTTACAAAAATATTTTTGTAACAGGTTGTTTTTGCATAGACATTGAAGATCTATTTTAGTCCCCATGCTGACATAGTATAAAAATGAGTAAAATACATGGTTGTCTTTATTTGATTAGGGCATAATGAATTGTATTTGATGCTTGAGTGACTTTTGATATCAGACTCTGACACATTATACTATGTATGTATATAACTTGAAAACTAATAAGTTTTGCTGCCTTTATAGTCATCATAAACATGTCATACTTGACAACAGTAATGCTACACTAGTTGTTTTAATTTATGTTATCTGAATTAAATTTTGGAGATATTTGTTAAGATTTGTTATCCTTCAAAAAGTAATTTTCTAAATGATGAATACTTTTTCGTATATCTATCAAGAAGCATATGTTGTATAATATCAAAATATCAGCAAATGAAGCCCTACAAAAGCCCTCAGTAGGCTGAAAATGTGTGACTATCCCTCATATGAACTATTGTTCTTGAAATGTCCAGCTTAGCATTTTTGGCTATTATTTGGGAAAAAAGACATAAATGATCAGAATATAAATAAAGTTGATCAGCAGGACATATCTATGTATATCTGAAATTTTAAGGAGATCAGACAACTGGTGCGAGAGTGATTAGATGAATATTGTAAATTGCAGAATTAATCAACATGATAAGATCTATTTGCATGAGAAATTAAAAAAAAATATGACACCTGTTGTTTTGTACAATACAATATTTCAACAGAATGTTCTTTAGTATGTAAGAGAGGTTCCTTATATTTTTGAGATAGTGGTATCACCGTTTCCTAAACAAAAGACTTTCCTGTAGTGCACCTCAGGATAGGTTTTTTAGACACCATACTTGAAACTTTGCAGAGTAATTAAATACACATTGAGGATGTGAGCCTCCTATTTAGTATGAATCTGATTTTTTCCCCACATTTTCCACTTTGCCATTTTTTACCCAGATGCACACCTTTTTTATTCTGATCGACACAGTTACAAGGCGTCGTTCATGATCAACAGAATTTTTCCACACTCTGTAAATGGGAATTACTTGAAATTTGATATGATGCTTAAATGTTGTTTAGATGTAAGGTGTATCATCTTATTTAAAAAAAATGTAGTTCCTTCTTTCTGTTAGACTACCGAATTATATGACTAGGTAACGTTTGCCCAATGTGCATCAAATGTGATTTGTAAAAAATGGGAGTATTTTAGGATTCAGATAACATATTGAGACTTGATCTCACTACAATTGCAGTACTATATACCATTGATTTACATTCATTAAGATAGTGCAATATTCATGTATACTCCAATTGGTCTGACTGGTTTAGGAGAAAAAAAGGGGGGTGCAAATTATGAAATAACTAAAAATTTTCATCCATAACATATTTTTATTTTGTTTTCTAATTAATAAGAATTGTTATGCCTATGAAATGCCAAAATTATATTAAATGGTTGATTTTGGTTATATATGAAATATTATGTTGTTATAGAAAAAAAAGCGAAACCTGATTCTGTGATATGCTATAGTTATTCACGAATAAAATTGATAACCATCAAAGATTTAATGTCTTTTGTAATTTTTTTGGTAAAGTGATGTCTAAAATACAAATATTATGAAGATGCATGAGGTAAATGATATTTTTTAAACTTCTAGATATCAAGGTAAGGAATTTCAGAGGTGCAATAATTAGATATATCCAGGTATTTTCTAGAGGCCGCATTTTTTAAACAATGCCCATAAGGTATCATTATTATAGCATTTTTTAGTCCTTTACACATTATTCTTTTAGAATAACCCTGGTTTACACACTTGTTGATTTTATAAAAAAATTCTCACTTCACCTAGGTACATCCTTAATTCCAATCACCTTAAGTAACACTGTAAAGGAAAGCAGTTTCTTTATTGTTCGCAACAAGAAGTTTCCTGATTTGCTTATTAAAGAAAATGGCAGACGGCCCACAGAGACCATCTTCTTTGGTCAGAACTTGTCTGTGGAGTTTTCCATCATTTGATATAATGACCAAATTGGACGAATTCTCTCCGATAACAAACACGTTACCGTCATTATCTAAAGCGATGTCTCTCGGAAGCATCAAAACTAAAGTATCTCGAAAAGTCCAAACACGTGATCCATTACGGTCACAACAAACTACACTGTGATCAGACCTGTTAGTGTAGTATATCTTGTCGGCGAATACAGATACGTAAGAATATGACGATAAGTTACAACTGATCACGTGAGAGGTAGTATAATCCACAATGTTTACTTTATATATACCACGTCCTTCAACACAGACAAATAGTGAGTCGTGATCACGTGTGATTCCCCATGGATGATCGGAAAGTTTGATGAAATTTATTTTCTTTCGGCTGTCGGTGTCTATTATGTCAATTCCGATGTACTCATTTGATCCTCCAGATGTGATAGCGATAGTTTTCTCATCGATTACTGTTATGTCAAACCCAGAGCAAGGATCAAGCGACATACTATATTTAAATGTACCATCTGACGAAATAACATTGAGTTTTTTTCTCAAGTAATAGTCGGTGAAAAAACAATCGCCATTAACTGACATGCAACAACCTCTAACATTCACACCATCTGTCGTAATTTTCTTTTTTAGAATTAACTTCAAGTCGTTAATATTTTTCGTTGGTGTTACTTGCAACTGTGCTTGTTTGCCTTTCGCCCTGTTTAAACGAATGCTACTCGGTGTCGTTTTTATTTCAATTGATCCAAAATTCTTCAAACTGTTCAAAATACTAGTCACCCCTGGATTTACATTACAAATCAGGTCGACTGGGTCCAATTTTTTAGTTTCAACCAACGATTGTAAATATTGTTCGTTTTCAAAAACTGTTATCTCAATGTCTCTCATTACTAGAAATGTTTGAAGATTGGAAGCATGTTGTTTGATGCTTTGAAGATTGGCCTGATATTCTGTTATTAAGTTTGCCTTTTCATTAACTGATGTTAAAATGTTCTGAATATTCTTCTTACATTGACGTTCTTTTTTCTCAAGATCTAGTATTATTTCTTTTTCAAGTTTGTCTAAATGTTTGTTTATTTGGTTTCTTATTTGTTGAATTTCTGCAAGATGTAACTCCTTCCTTTCTTCAATACTGACCAAATTAGCCTTTCGGACTTTCTTAATGCCATCAATGTTCTGTAATAAGTCCACCAGTCTTGTTTCTAAATCTTGAAAGTGTCCGGATGTCTTTGCGTTATTAGTGACTTCATCAAGAGGAATGACGTTGCATGTCTTGTGTTCTTTAATGCATTTGAGACAAATTGGTAACGTATGCGCAACACAGTATTGTTGATACTTTTCATTGTGATAGGTACATGACTGCTGTATTTCAGTAATAAAGGACGGCAGAGATATGTATTTGTCAATTGGTATGAGTTCGTGACTTCGTGTGGCCTTGAGTACTTTATGATGTCCTTGGCAGTCATCACAAATGGCTTCTTCACACTCCGCGCACCAGTGTGTTGAGGGTTTGGTTATCTGTCGCACTGAACATGGACCACAAGGAATTGTATTAGTAGTCATGGTGATACCTGAATATTGATATATATTTCTATTAATAACATCTGATATAAGAATGCTTTTCTGCAATCAATTTCACCAAAAATGTAAGGAGAAAAAATACTCTTAAGTCATTAACATTTCAGTATAACTTACTCACCCCAGTTTTCGATGGGGTTCGTGTTGCTTAGTCTTCAGTTTTCTATGTTGTGTTTTGTGTACTATTGTTTGTCTGTTTAGCTTTTTCTTTTTTAGCCATGGCTTTGTCAGTTTATTTTCGATTTATGAGTTTGTATGTCCCTCTGGTATCTTTCGCCCCTCTTTTACGATCTTTTTTTGTCGCAACATTTCATGTTAAAAAGGGCGCTGATTGGTTTGTACTCGGTGTACTTTTTTACGGTTTTTTCTTCGATCTGCACAACAAAGGAAGACGATACCAAGGTCAATAAAAAAAATCGTAATAACAAAAACAACAAGCATTCTGAGAGTATTGCATGGCAATGCATAGTCCCCTACCGCGTAAAAGTTCATTATACTGGAACAAAATGCTAACTTGTTCTATAACTTGTCATGGTGTAAAAAAAAGAAAATATCAAGTCAATATCTTCAAGCATGACCAAAAACAGTGTGAAAAACTGATTATATGAGTGAATTTTTCAAGTCCAAGGACCATAACTCTGCTCAAAATTATCAGACCGAAACAAAAATTTGAACTTGATCTGTAACTTGTCATGATAAAACTATATACCAATTATCAATCAATATCTCCAAGCATGATGAAAAAAAAAGTGTGGAAAACACTCTAACATTAGATATGATTAATAGTTATCTAAAATTAGATATGATGTAATACAATGTATATTTATTTTCAAGTTATAATCAAATATAATTAATAGTTCCAAATATTTTTTCCTTCATTTGTCACAAACAAATATAGATTTGTAACTTATCTATAAAATGTCAACAACTTTTATCTATACACAATGTAATGTAATGAAATATATACCTTAATAAAAATAGATTATTATCTTTCACTTCATAATTTTTTGTTATGTATATAGCATTCAGAAAATTAGTTTATACAAAATAAAAAATACTTCAAATATTTAACCAAAGAATGTCTTTGAAAAAATGAGTCATCTCTCTTTGTACAAAAATATGGTTTAACATACAAAATGTAATACTTTTACATTAGATATGGACCATGCTAACTCTGGACTAAATCATCAGACCGGAACAAAATTTGAACTTGATCTATAACTTGTCATGATAAAACTATATACCAAATATCAAATCAATATCTTCAAGAATGAAGAAAAAAAGTGTGGAAAGCTAATTTGCCGGACTGACGGATTGACAGACGGACGGGCAGACAGACGGACGGAGTGCAAACCTAAAGTCCCATTCGACTTCGTCGGTAGGGGACTAAAAACAGACAACGACATAGCTTAGCATTCTAATGGCGAAAATTCAAATACCAATATGCATGTTTTTTGTTCATGTCTCAAATTTCCTGCACGGAAAATGTGAGGTTTTCTCATACCTTTGCGTTCCTCATTGTCTGTCGTTCGTTGTCCTCCCTAATCTGTTAACTTAATTTTACAGAACTGGTTTAAGAGTTTCCATGAGTATTTGTCATTCTTTTACGAGTTTATTCCTTAACATGGTTACAAAGTTTCGATATATACTTCAATGATTTAATAGTACAAACTACGATAACTAGAATTACTGGAACAATTGGACAGTACAACAATAACCACCAACACCTGACTTCTCCGAAATATTGGTCAACATTAACCACCAACACCCAACTCATGCGACAACACTAATCACCGACACCCGACTCCTCCAAAATATTGGACAACACAAACCATGAACACCCGACACACGCGGCAACAGTAACCACCAATACCCGACTACTCCGACCGCATCAACCACAAACAACCGACTCCTCCGAAATATTGGACAACCCTTACCCCCAACAACCGACTCCTTCAAAAGATTAGACAACCCTAACCATTAACACCCGACTCCTCTAAACAATTAGAAACACTATTCATCAACACCCGACTCCTTCCGAAAAATTAGACAACACCAACCACCAACACCCGAATCATCCAAATAATTAGACAATGTTAACCACCAACACCCGACTCCCGACTCTTTCGAAAAATTTGACGCATTAACAAACAAAAACGAACAAAGCAAAGTCCATACAGACATATAGGCACAAAACCTTTATTATCCAGGTGCGAACGGGATGACCGCTATATAAAAAATGAACATTAGAGATAGCATATGATTTGTAAAACGGGATAAACTCTACTCGCCACTACAGGATGCTTACTACTAGACGCCAATTAAGAAATCAATGAGACTGTTTTTGAATTCCATATCCAAGCAAAATAATTATTCGAACGTATGGGACGATCATTTGATTTTAATCGGGGACGTGGGGACAGGACTTTTCGGTTGTAAATTTATCATTGTTGTTCACTTTTTTAAGTTGTTGCTAGTATGTTTTATCTATTTTGCGAGGATCTGCCGCGCGAACAATTTTTTCCTCTCACGTACACAACTATTTCCAGCATTGTCCTACATTTTATTGGACTAAATATTGATTTTCATCCTGTCTTTGGTAAATTTTTTTCTTCAACTTTTACCAGGCTTGAATATTCATGATATTCATTGCAAAAATCCTTACACAACGCAACTCCAACAAATATCAAATGGTCGACCCATTAATTTCCAATCGAACCTGAACTCTAAGCTCTATACTCAAGTTGGCAGCCAATTTTAGCAGATAATTAAAGGTTTACCACACTTTTCATCAGTCAGTCTATGAGGGTCGGGATAGGGTCCTTCATTTCTTTATTTTTCAACTTTTTAGACCATTTTTGTCATTTTCTTTTTTTTTGTCTTTTTTTTCATCCTATTTCAGCACCCCATTATTCTCTATTCTTTATTTTTTTGGCCTATTTGTCTCCATGCTCTATATATTTTGCCCTTTATTCTGCACATTTTACCCATTATTCTCTATTCTGTAAACCCCATCCAGACCCTCGTTTGTCGATTAGTTTTTGAGAAAAAAAAATATCTGATAACATAAACACTTACAAGTAAATGCTTTAAATTTGAAGTTACATGAGTAAGGCCAATACAAAGGTACAGTCACGATTGAAAAACAAATAACCGACAAAATGGTGGAATACTTGTTTAGTTCAGTATAACATATCAAAATCGTTTTGACATTGTCCTTATAACATATATATATCGACATAGTCGAGAATTTGAAATTGAAACAGTTGTACTGTAAACAAAAATAAAATAATATTATATCTATCTGCTCAAATAAAATCAGTAATTTTAGAATAATTATTCAATCAGCTATTAATTTTATTTCGTGTCCTTTTTATTACAATACGTACAATACATGACCATACATGTTTAATATGATGTTATACAAACCCGTTGTAAAAATAGTTTGAAATCAATAAAAATCATCAATTTAGAACTCGATGAAAGCTTTAATGACAACTTTTCCTTCAAAAGCAATATATCTAAATTGTATATACAATATTAATTAAAAACCGTTATCTTACCTGTTCCAAGTCTTGAATTAAGTATCAACCTTCGTAACAAGGAAGAAATACGTCACATGATATCTTTTAAGTCTATGTCACATGATGTGCACTAAGAACATTTAAAAACGAAACACATCAAATCTTTAAATTTCACCTTTGGTCCCTATGTTATACAAAAAACTTCTCTTTAGCCATTCATTGAACAAATTGGTGTCGCATCGACTCTTTTCAGTTCTGAAACTTCAAAAGGTGTTCATTCAAATGAGCACATTTGCCCAAATGCCTCTAGATGTGCTTGTTGTTGTTTGTTTACTGTCTCATTGACGTCTACCAAGCATCTTCTTTTATTAATCACTAATAATCACATAAGGCGACACTTTTTGATAAAATTTGCTTAGTTTGGGAAATTTCCGAATTGGTTGCAATTTCCAATTCAAAGTGCATTTTTCATTTTTTTCTCAGATATGTGGAATTTTTAAAAATAACTCATGTCTGTGTTAAATAATTCATCAGATTGCTGATCGACAGTGGCTACCCATGCGGATCCATCGAAATATTAAAACTTGATAATCGGACATAAGTTTACTTGAACGAAAACCTACAACGTTTCTTCATATATATGTATCAACTTCTTCCTTTAGCGCGGAATTTGAACAATCAATTAACACAAAAGCCAAACCATAAAAACAAACTAAGACGTCTGAAGACGGAAATGGGCCTAAAGATTCAAAGTCAAGTAACTATTTTTAAGAAATCTTTGGTATTTTACGGTTATCTGTATTCAATTGCGTAATAATATAATTTATCAACACTCCGAAAAAATTCTAATACTTTCGTTGGCTTCACATAATTAAACGTAAATAAACCAGAATTTCGCTAAGCGTCGAAAAAATCAAAGTCAAGTGACTATCAACGAAACAGAAGAAGCAAAGTGTAAATAATTTACTAAAAGGAATCCATTACTATATGGTACTTATTTAAAAGACGTGTCCAGTTATTGACGATTCAAAACATGTCTAAGAAATACGTAAACATTAGTAACGAAACATATCTGGTCCAATACGAACTGGACAGCTAATACCTAACAAACCTTTAAATGTCATATTTCTAATGTAATGATTTTTATAAATTTTTCGTTTTGGGATTAAAGGAATACGAAAACACGTTTTGTCAAACCTTGTATTTAAAGTGTACAAAAAAACAACAACATTTTAAAAAGGAAACAGTAAATACAAGTATCAATAAATATTTCTGATAACCGATCTCTTTCACCAGTATGATGCTAACTTAAATTAATCATATTAATATATGCTGATTTTCCTAAAACAATATTGAACGTTATACAAATTAAAAACCGAACCAGGATTGTACAATTCTAAAATATATCTTGACTTGGGATAGTTTTAATTAAAGATACCCCGGAAACACAGAATTTTTTAACATCAAAAACAAACTAAACACTGTAATTAGATATTTGAATATTGTTTTTATTGGTATATAATTGTTTATCAGTAAATTAAAACCATACAAGGGGCCAGCTGAAGCGGGATTTTCTCGTTGTGTTGAAGATCCATTGGTGGCCTTGGACTGTTTTCTTCTCTTTGTTCGGGTTGTTGTCTCTTTGACACATTTCTTATTTTCATTCTCAATCTTACAAATGCACATTTATGGTACTACAATCTGTCGATACCTGTTTTTTGGTAAATCACAAGATTTTTTTCTCTCTGACTGTTAACGACGTCCTTACACTAAATCCATTGGATGTTGTATGTGAACTGATCTATATTTTAGTCTTAGATACATGATTTTTTTGTTAGTTGCTATTGGCTTTGAACTAGCTGTTAGTAACCGCGAAGATCTGTACTTTGTGTATTTGGTGTTTTAGGGATGTAAAGATATCCTGCCACATCCAGTTTGTGTTTTTGCTAGACACTTTTCTGCTTTGTGTCGTTCTAATGAGTTAAGCCATTTTCAACTGATTTTCATTGTTTGTTTGTATGTTGTACTGGAGGATTGGCGCTTTCTAACATACTTAACCCCACCATATTCTGTATGTGCCTGTCCCAAGTAAGGAGCCTGTAATTCAGTGGTTGTCGCTGGTTCATGTCTGTCATATTTGTTTTTCGTAAATTGTTTTGTTATAAATTAGGCAGTTATTTTTCTCAATTGATTTTTTTTTTATTTCTCATGTCCCGCGGGTTCTTTTAAAGCCGACTATACTACATAGATTATTCTCATTGTTGAAGGCACTACAGTTGCCTGTAATTGCTTACATCTACTTCATTTGGACTTTGGTTGATAGTTGTATCATTGGAAATCATACCACATCTCCTTATTTGTATTTACTCTATTAACGACTGACAGACCTACACCCTTCTTACATGTTCACCATGTACGTTTACGATAATTAATATACAAATTAAATACACAATTAATTTTACCGACTAGCACGTCAAGTACGCTAGAAAACTTACAAATATAGGAGTAACCGGAACGAAAAGCAAAAAATATTTACAACCCTAAATGCTTGGTCACTTGCAGCCTTTTTTCAACTGAATCTACAACGTAACCATCCTTGCTACTGTCTCTTTTCCAACGACTGTGTCGTTTCCATACCATATCATTGACATTGAATGCAATCCAAGCTTCAGGTCTTTTGAAACTAGTTTCAGTCTAGAAATAATGCTTTCTCTGGCAGTAGTATAACTAAGCTTTTTGTTTTTATATATAAGTTTACAAATACTTTTAGAACGGAAAATCGGTCTAAAAAGGAAAAAATCTGATTCCAAATTGACACCTTAAAGATTTACATATCTCAGAAACATCTTATTTGGACAAACAACGGTATTCCCCTTGGAAATTAAAACCTCATAACCATTACGATACCGGTCGGTCTTACTCTTCTCTATATACAAAATCAAATAATCTGATTTAACTTAAATATTTTTACACAAAAGAGAGTTAATCTCATCGTAACGCAAAAACCCAGCAAAACACAGTAAAATCATCGCTAAATCACAAACCACAAGTAAATCTTGGCTATTTGAAAACATTCTGCACAATTGCAATAACATAGCTAATGAAACAGGGTCCTTCTTGTGCTTCTTAACGGTAGCCACTCTCTTAGCAGATTCTTGTAAAATTCTTATGAATTTTTTGTTGGATCTGTAAAATTACTCATTTCATGCACTCATTTTATACTATAGATAGCAGAATTAATAGTGTTACATGTAGCACCCGAGTCAAGCAAATAAGTTATGTGTAAAGCTATATGAACCGGCTGTGCTGGTAAAGCTTGAAAACCAGGTTTTTAATGAATGTTTCCCAACGTTTAAATGCATAAAAGTACGATTTTGCTGTGTTATCACTTCAACTGTTCACAATGTAACTGGACATATGTTCTGCATACGTGAAAAGTTCAGATTTCTCGTCTACGACGGCATCTTTCACATCTTCCTTAATTTTTTTCTTTCAAACCTATTCCTTGAAAACAGAAACGCAATCTATGATAATCTAACACCCTAAACTTCAACACGCATAGCAACGAAATTGAAATTTTGTTTAATCATACCAAAAATCCCGTTTCGCCCTCTTCCTCTATGAGTTATCATTGAACCCGGAAAGATCTTATGATTTTTAACAAAATATTTAAATCCGTAACCCTCTGAAAATACCGGCCAATAAGGAGCCGACTTCCATTCGGGTATAACTAGCGTACCAACTGATTTATCTTTCAACATCTTTTTAACTGTTTTTGTAACTAACGAAGGTGGTGGGACTAACCAGTTATTTTCTCTATCCCAATGCTGTTTGAAAGCATCAACACCGCTTGTTCCCTGACACCAAAACTTGGAATTAAAGTTATCACATTTTTTGTTATATGAAGACGCAAAGCGATCTACTGTATGAGGACCCCATTCTCTATCAAGCATACGAAACAACCATGTTTGTACACCCCAGTCATCGCATTCGTTCACCCTACTTAAAGTGTTTGCATGTGTATTATTTATATCTTGCAAGTGAGTCTTTTTACTACCTACCTTCAAAATAGTTTCAACATTTTTATTATCAGTATGTATTTTTACACTTTGCCCATTCAATGCAGGCAAATTAGTTTTCAAAATCCTATGAACAGCCTCAAGTTCTCTCCAAGTAGAACTCATGTTTGTTTCATGTGCATCCCATACACCAAACATTTCTACCGTTTTGCTCTTCCCTGCCTCATTAGCTATATATCCTCCATAGCCTTCACCTGAGGCATCCGAAAACATGTTTACATAACATGCTTCGTTTGTTAACTGACTAAATAATGCACCATCTGCATTTAACCTTTCTATATTTGATAACCAAAACTCTAATTCTACCTTTGCTTCTGATGTAACCCAGACCGGTGCATCCCATGATGTTCTATCCTGAACACAGTCATAGGCATACCGAGTCCTTAACCTTACAGTTGTACCCAACACACCCTGTGTAGATATTAACTGACCAATAACTGAAGCTAATAATTTTACTGATATCACACGTTTGTCTGGTAATCTGTTACATATGCAGGATATACATTTTATAAACCTGTCAATTCTAATTATACCTTCAGAAGTATCCCATACCATTCCCAAAAAAGTTATCACTTGGACCGGCTTCCAGTTACACTTTTCCTCTGCAATAATGAAACCAAAATCGATTAAATCTGCCCTTATTCTATGGCTAACGTAGTTATTCATCATAATTGTCAGCACCACCTAAACCGTCGTCAAGATACATAAGGATCCTGATATTGTTAGATCTCCAATACTTTTTAACCTCTCTTAAGACTTTTGAAAATATAAAACCTGCTGTAGCCAAACCGAAACACAACACATTAAATATGTAAAATTTAGACTCCCATTGAAAACCGAAATATGTTCTGTCTTCCTGATGTACCAATATATGATGATAACCTGACTTCAAATCAAAAGAAAACAGATAATCACCCTTAGAAAACAATTTTCTTGCCACAGTTGCATCTTCATACTTATATCTAAATAGATATTAATGTGGGTTAAGTGACGACAATCAAGCTCTAATCTA